CCTGGCCTCGCGTTTCTACGGCGAGTAAGGGGTTCCAGAAACCGCATTTCTTTGTATTTAATAGTTATATTTGTATTCATATCGGTTCCAGAAGGGAACCGATCTACAGAAAAATATATTAATTAGGTATTTAAAGGTAAGATACCACAGACCCCCTACTATAGTATCCTAGATTGAACCATATAATTTTTATTGGATTTTATTGGATGTTTTTAAATTTACTATTTGTTCTATATCTAACTGGTGGCATGCAAGGTAGATGGTAAAAGTACTACGTTGGTTTACTAACTATTATATTTACAAGCTTAAATAAAACCAAAAACATCTATATACAAAATAATAACTAAACCTATATACATAATGAATAGTTGAGAATCATACTGGAGGAGAATGCTTGATGTTTGATTAAAGTTACATGTGTTATATTGATTATATTAATTAATGATGTATGGTTGCCAACACAAATTTACATTAGTATAACTAAATGCTTGTTACCACTTGCTGGTCCTTCATAGTGTTTCTAGGTGTTTCTAGCCGTCATATCTGGATTCCCTGTCTCTGCTCTCCTTCAGCGTCTAGTCCGTCCATCTGCTCTCTCCGGCTGTCTTCGTCTTCCTCCCTCGACTCCCCTCATCAAGTCCTAGCCTGTGTCTCAGCTCTCAGTCTCCTCCGCTGAGTCCCCAAAAAGAAGTGTCCTCCTCTGAGTCCCAAAAGGAAGTCCACCTTCTCTCATCCCCTCTCTTTGGTAGTCTTCTCTGATTGGCTGAATATTCCTAGCCTAAGGGATGACCACGCCCTCTCCCCCAGGCCAAGGTAAAGCAGCAGGTACAGATTTCCGTATTTCTGGTGGAAGGTGTGAAAAGGTCTTTCGGGATCCTGTTTAAACACTCAGTTGTCGGTCTTGGTCGGTGGTTCTTAAAGGTTTTTATTACCACTTACAAAAGGTTGGGCTTGTGGGTCGTTACCCTCGCTCAGGTAGCGCCAGATGTGGCCACTTATGATATTTATTTATTTATACCTTTAAAATAATTAAATGAATACCACCGGCGGTCTTTACAATACATAGCAGTATCAATAGTCAGTTTCTCTATAAGTCTTTGTTATGGCAATAATATCATAGCTCGTATGTACTAGTATGTAATCCCTTAACAGATAAAATTGGAAAACTATAGAATTTAGCATTTATATAACGAAACCACAGAAGGTAATGGAGAGTGATGACAAAGTATCAACTATTAACTATTGCTGTTCGTGATTTTAAATTTTATATTTTTAAAAAGAAAATGAATGAAATTCCTAAAAATACTGAATGTAAACTTTTTAATTTTATTTTCAGTATGACACATCAAAAATAAATAGTTATGCCGAATTATTATTATATTATAAAATCATTGTCGTTGGTTGCTATATATAATTAAAATAATATTCTTAGTGAATGAATTTATTTTAAAATTAATTACTACTGAAAATAGAGTGGTGGTATCAGTTTAGAGTTATGCGCACACCACTACAGTTTTATAAAGAGGTTATTCTTTATGTAACTTTATTATCAAGAACGTACTAAAAATAAAAGTTACATTATAAGATAGTTCGAAAAATTGGCCAATAGTCGGGCATGAAAAATTTTTAAGTTCTTGCCATTTGAAAGTTAATTTCAGTTGCAATTGCAAACATATTTAATTAAAGTATAGATACAGTGTACAAACTAACACAAATACATTTTATATGGTTTACATCTATACAAAAAAATGAAATAAATAAATACAAATCAAATAGCACTTGTCGATTTGAATAATTTAATTTATTTTTAAATTAGCCGACGTTACGGCCTGAAGTTCAAGCCTTCATCAGGGATGCTTTGCAAGAAGTAAAGTCAGATCAATTCAAATATTATAATAACAATTATATTACTAATTAATATGTAATTATAATGTTATATTAATAATATTAATATATTTCTATATATATATATATAAAATTTATAATATATAAAATATTTATTAAATTAAAGTATTTTAAATTATACAATATTTAAATTATTTTATATAATTAAAATATTTATATATTAATATTAATTAATTATATAATTATAATAATCACATAATATTATTCAAAATTGTATCTTAACGCGACATCTTGTTAGAGAGACGAAAAGAGTAGAAATGTGCCGAAAATCAAATGATAACGAGTTTTATTGATATGGATTAAAATATTTCAGAAACTAAAAATTGGACCTGCATACTGTAAGCAAGGGAATTCAGCATTTCATCCTCTTTATAATAAGCTATTATTTATAATTTATATTTCATATTATTAATCTCGCCTTGTTGATGTTTTTACTAATATTATATGGTGTGGTCTAAAACACACATCTTAGTTGTTTTATTTTTAAACAGAACTTAACTTAGTGTAGTTTCTCAAAAGCACTCTTGATATGAGAAGGAGGTGCGGTTAAATAAACACTAAATTATACAAATAGTTTTTTTGCCGACGTTTCGACCCACTTTGCAGGTCTTCATCAGGGCGTAGGATGTAGCACTGAGGAAGGAAGTTGAAACACTCTTTATATGGTTTTAACAATCATAAACTCTATTTTCATTTGAAGTAAATTTTAGAAACCATGTATATCTATATGTATATGAATATTTCGTAAGTAAAAAATATACAGGCTTTACCTTACAATTATTAAAATAAATAAAATTAATTTTCATAGTTATTTCCAAAATAGTTGGTAAACATTCTTATTAATATCCAAAAACTTAATTTGATGAAAATAAATATTTGTATTAATTATAAATAAAGACCTTCACTAATTAATATTCACAAGAATCACAATAGATAATTATTATATAGTATATAATATATAAGACATAAGTAAAAGAAAATCGAACAATAAAATTGAATATAGACTTTTGTCAGATTTTCTTAGAGTTTATCTCTCCTTATCAATTAAACATATTATTTTACGAAAATCGTGAAATTTCTCAGTCAGCGATAATCCAAATTTATAAAAGAATACAAACGATCTAAAAAATGATCTTTTAGGTAGGTTTTTCTTTGAAAGGCAAATTAATTGAATGATTGAAAAAATTCAGACCAAGGTATTAAAAAGCGAAAAAAAAAAGTATTAAACCCAATATGTAAATAAAAACCGGATCGCTTTGCGACATATTTTGCCCATTGATGACTGTGAGAGCATTGAGTTGCCGTTTTTATAATTTACTCTCAGAACAAGTCGGGCACTAGAAAGTGTGAGAAAGAGGCCAGGATGGAGGGACAAGAGTGGAACTAGCCCGATCTGGAGTACTTCCTCCTCTTGTGGATATGGGCTGTCCTCGGAGTCCTCCAGCCCACCTCTGCCAATTAACTACAACGCTTCAACACTTTAAATGGGGAGAGTTTGGAAGAGAGTTCTTTGGAAGTTGGAGAGTTGGAATATTATCCTCCATCAAACATCATGAATTCCGGGTTGATGTAACTAAATAATAATGAAAAAGTAATTATAATTAGAATATATCAATATTATATTTGTGATTGTGGGACGTTGGTTAGGAGTTCAGTCACAGAGAAATACAAAACCATATTTTAATTTTTTTAAGTAAATACTTCTTTGGGCGGATGGGAACGTAAACAGGATTGTAAAGGATTAAGAAGACAGTTTTGCTAAAGAAAGATGTTAAACTGAGAATGGACTACTCTTTTCAATGGATTGGATGAATTAGTAGCTTATTTTTTTTCAAGTAAAAGTTCTTTAGGCGAATTTTGCACTTTTTTTTGTGAGTTGTGACTGAGACTAGTGTTGCCTAAAATCGGTAAAAGACTAGGACCGCCTCACTGTTGCAAGACCAAGACTGATAAAAAGAAATACATTTTTTGAATAGAAATAAGGTAAAATAGTTACTAATGCTTGACAATTTTAAGTACTATAAGTAAAGAATTGGTATATCCAATATACTTTTGCATTTAACTCTTCTAATTTTTCATTCTGGCTTAGTTGGGTTTCTCATATCTAAAAAAATACAGTAATATTTCTATAGTACTAAGCTAATAGGTTACTGAAAGACCGTTGGGAGACTCTTGCACAAGACCAAGACCTAGACCAAGACTGAGCTTGCAATTACAGGACTCGTCTCGGTCTCGTATTTGAGCAACACTAAATGAGATTGATCGGTTACGCTCATTCGGGTAAAGTCGGCTCGAGTTACCTAATTGAAGTGTTTTTGGATTAAAATATCTCAAAAACTAAAATATGCAATTAATAAAATGTCACTTCTGTGGATAAGTTTGGGTTCCAAAGATAGTTTTAATCCTTTAAGGATCGTCCCAAAGCAGAAAGACTATAATGTTAGATTTTGGAACAGTTTTTTGTAGGTTATAGAAAAAAAACTGGACGAATTTTTCTAAATGGTGACCTTACCAAGTACTGGACTCAATACTCTAACATATGTCTGAATAGGTTCGAACTTTTGTTTCAAATTTTAAAACTGATCGAAAACCTGATGACTACATCGTTGGTTGCAATAGTACATTTCGTCTGTATGTACTTCAAGTTGTTTTTTTTTATGATAATTCCATTTCTCTTATCAGAATTCAATTAATTACATGAATGTTAACATTATTTTTTTTCAAGCAATATAAATTATGGAAACCATTGGTATTTTCGTTTAATGTAAGAATCCTATTATAAAATATATTAAATGATTTATATTTTTGTCTTCAGAATATAAATTGTCAACAAAGAAAATTTGATTCTTATGTCTGCTGTTATAATTTACAAGTGGGAATCCGTATTTTTAATGATATATTACAAGTATTACTTCGACCCAAAATATTTTTAAGAATATCACATTGCTTGTTGGTTGGTACTCTTTGTGTGGTATCATTTATTAAGGAATTAATTTTGTGCTATCTGATATCGACAAAAAACAAATAATTTCGGTTAACGTAATTAATTGTACGGTATGGTTAGTTTACGCCATGTTATGTAATATAGTGGGAGAACCATATGGGATGATGTCTTACCTAACCTTTAGTCATGATTGTTTACAAACTTCTAAATTAATAGTTTACATCATAAACGAAATAATCTGCCCCTTTACAGAATATTAAATCTTCATGAACAAGAAACGAAATAGAAGGCAGATTTAAAATAAAGACTCTTTTGTTTACAGAAAATGGGCAGCCCTTGGGTAATGTTGTTTAGCTCTATTATTTGAAATATTTACTTGATTATAAGTCTGCTTATATGAGCAACGAAATACTTCGGATTTTCGAATGAATTAGTAAAGTTTTCCGTTAATTTCTGTAAAATTTAAACTTCAAAAAACTCTTTAATTAACCTGAATAAGTACGAATTCTTGCCAAAGCAGAAACATGAATAGTATCTGTAATATTTATATCAGCTAATTAAAACTATGTAAGATAAGGTGTTACCATGTTCTTCATATAAATTTCATAAACTTCATACAGGATTTCACCGATACGTAACATAGCTGGTTTTCTTGAAATATATCATTATTAAAATTAAATTAAATTTCTTTACTTAAAACAATTAATGCGACTAATGTGTCATTATCATATAATGTATTACAAGAACTAAGTGCAAATGTACTAAATATAACTACGCTGGCTTTTAACAAAGTTTGTCATACATTATTTATAAAATAGTTTAAAGTAATTTTCTATTAAAATTTACCTGACTTGATCTATTTCCAACAGGAAGATGTGGAGACAGCCATAGTCTACCCTTTTCTATCTGTGTTGTTGTGGCTCTTGATATGGAAATTCTTCATCGATAAAGTGGCCTACTGCATCATCGGCCTGACGGACAAACTGATCAATGGAGCGGTCGTTACAGTGGCTCACTTGGTTTCGCTTCAGAGGATGATACCTTACGAAGGGATATTCCTTCCTACCCCACAATCTACTGAAATGGTGCTTCTCTTCTCGGCCTCCTACCATCTGAAGACAGCCTTCTGTTCGGAAGGGAAGACGAACATCTCCTACAATCTGATGGTTTTCATCAGCATTATGGACGTGATTTCGTTAAGGAAAGGAGGCGACACAACTCTGTATTTCTTGATTCTTCTCGAGGCTCCGGATCTTATAGGTTCATTCATTATTCCATTTTTGAGATCGGCGGCCTGTTTTGACGTCATCTACACGGTACTGTATATTGCATTCAAGGTTTGTCTTCTTGGCCACATCTTATATCAGGAAGTCATGAATAGTAAAATCTCAGAAGACATCAAAATGAATAACTTTATCATATACCTCTACTCATTGGTTTGTTTGCCAGCAATGTTACTGGGTTGCTACCAGTTCTGCTCAGGCGATGTAGACAATTCATTGGCGGGTATGTTGCCTCAGCTAAGCAGAAAAAGATTGGAAATCGCACGTTGTAAAGGGTGCAAACGTAGGAGTTTTTCTCGTGCCAGACGTCGTTGAAAATATTTTAATAAACTATTTACACATTCAGTCGTTTTAATATACACTGAGAGGCAAAAAATGTTATTTAAAAGAAGGTATTTTTCTTTATTTCATATATTACTAATATATATTTTTTGGTTCTTATTTCCTTAAACAACCGAAACCATATACATTAATAAGACACTAAAAAATTGAAATGATTGCAGATTATTAGAAAATTATTATGTTTTGCAAAATATAATCATTTTAAAAATTATACGTTTAGTATAAATTCAACTCGATGTTGCTTAAGATTTTTAAATAGATTTCTTAATTGTCTTATTCTTACATCAAAACTACCCTTAATTCTAATGAATTACTGGTAAAGATGGGCTCCTAAAACATCTCGACTTCTGCTATATTATTAAAATATTCCATAGCGTTGCGCATGAGTTCCGAATATTGGATGGATAGTCACTTCAAATATTTGATATAACATTTTCCTGATAGTTATAGATATATATATATTTTTTTTTCCTCTCAGTGTAATAGAAGTCTATTTTCATTAAAACTTATTATTATAACAATTGATATTATATCAAATCCAAGAAAAAAATTTAAAGTTCTGCAAACAAGTAGAAAAACTAAATGCAACACTACATGATGAATGCAGATGATCGGTCACCAACAATGCAAAAAAAAAAAAGTTGTACACTCATATAAAATTATATTAAAAAACACAATATTAAAAAAAAAATGGTGCATTTTATTTAATTACGAATTAATTTTCAACTTGATCAAAAAGAAAACAAAATTTTTACGATTTTTTTTTTAAGATACCGATTATGTTTTCTGTTTGATCATGTGATATATATAAAAAATATGAAACACTTGTTTTTTTTTTTTATTCATCAAAATTTATAGTGTAACTGTTCCTCAAAATATGTAAAGTACACCTATTTCAAAATTTTTGTTAGGAGGCTTATAAAAGCTTCTGTGTAACTTTTTACTTTTTATATTTTTTGGTGAGAATGTTCTAACAAGGATTCATCACGTCACTATCACTTGTGGTCACATTGAACATGGACTTAGTAAGTATAATATGTTTATTCTAATATATCTTACCCAAAATATTCATAGAGCATCATGCGAGCTTAAGAATACCGTTATTAACCTAATATTATTAAACCTAATATTAGTTATTTTAGTACTTGGAGTGATTTTATAATATTAGAATTCAATTATCTGTATTCTTTCCACCCCTACCAGTGACTTCAAAATTAGCAAAAAAAAAAAAAAGGTTTGGTGTGACTTTCTTTTTTGGTTACTAATTTAGGTTTGATATAATTTTGTTCCTTAGTTCCCTTTCGTTACTACATGTTGACGGTCGGTTTCAAGATCATCTAGAACACGCAACCCCCATATTCCCGATTAAAGCCGAAAGTAGTCGAGTTGACAATCCTGTTTACACCGGAATGTGCTGTCCTCGCTTATACGTGCTGTTTTGGTTAGCTCATGTTATATTCACGCCTTTACAAAATGATAAAATACACATTAAGAAAAAAAGCTCTTGCTAAAATGTAGGAAAATAGCTCATTTGCCTCAAACACCAAACAGTAAAATATGCAATTAAAATTAAATTGAAATTCTCATCCCACTGATAGGTGTGATCAAAATGCGTATAGAAAAACGCTGAAAATTATTACACAATGGTTTATTACTTGAAAATTATGTTATAAGTAACATTACTTCCCTTGTAACACTATGAAAAATAAATAAAATGTGATTCTGAACTTCATTATCATTTATTAGTAATTTGCTGAGAAATATAGACAACACAGATTCAGTTGATGTGAGACATTAAAAATTGAAAAATAAAACAAAGGATATGAGTTTTGAAATAGAACATATAAAACATATTTAGAACGTCATATCTTTTCACAAAATTCACCGATTTGTTTTTTTAGGAAATTATTTAAATTTAAAAAATATATAACACCAACCCTCAAGTAAAACATAATAAAATTCCATAAATCTTTAAATGATAATACATCAGTAAAAACAAAGAATAATTTTTGAGTAATTCGGAAATCTAATTTTACCACCCCGCGTTACTTTTTTTCCAGCTTCTTTTAGTTGAAATATGTTTATTAAATAAATTTAAAGGGCATCGAGGAGAATACTTATATTAGCCAAGTTTCATCAATATCGGTATATCCGTTAAAGCGCTACATTCTTTACCAACATAGGTTTTTTGTCCACAATCTTGAAAGGGAAATACGAGCCGTAATGTCGAGGTAAGGGGATCATCACTGGGTGATTTCTTGTGATGTCGATTCCAAATCTCAATAAAATCGGTCCTGTAGTCTCGGATAAAATCCGCGGACGGCGTTGGGCGGACAGACAAGTTTTTTTTTTTATCCGAATTTCGTGAAACCTAAAAGCTCAAATTTTTAGGGAGAAGGGGGTAAATGTTGAATTTTTTGGAGGATTACATTGGTTTGTTATTGAAAATAATAAATCTATATAATTAGTTAAAATAAGCCAATTCAAATTAAATCTAACCTACAAATTTGAATACATATGTTTAATTAACTTTTATTTAATTTTCTACTCCTCTCTGATAGATACACAAAAATATGAAGTGAAGTAAATCAGTATATTAAATTATATATGAAAAAAATTATGTACAATAAAATAATAAGATTCAGAGAAAAATGTGGTCGCTTATTATTTGCTGTTAATAATACGATGAATCCTGCTAATAACATTGATTTAAATATTTTAACAATTATTATGATTACTATTATTGAATTAAAAATTACCTCCTTATGAAAGAGAGTAATTCACCGTCATGAATACCGAATTGGTTGAATCGACCTTATTCCGTACACATGCCCACATTTTCGGCAATCTAGGTGTAGCATGCTCTAAGTGATTTTTCGGCCAAATCATGGATTATAATTCTATCTTAAGCTATCTGAATTTCTCTTAGTTTGTATTAAAAAAAAAAAAGTATAACTATTTCTGAACTGCATTTATCATGAACGGTTGTTAAAAAATCGAACAGGGCGGTCCCTTGTTATTTCTAGGTAGATTAGATGTTTTGCTTGCATGTATATTATCAAAATGACCCACTAAATCTTTTTTATTTTTCTTGATCTGTGCATTTTTCGAGGATTTTTATAAATAAATAAAAATGCATTAGTTAACTTTCGTACTTCACCACGAAGTACGCTTCTTAATATTTAATCTACCAATGCAATATGCTCATTATCTACGACTCATTTTATTGCAATCCCACAATCCAATTGTCACTCCTTTGTCTGCGTTTGAATTTTCGAAGATTTCAATTTTTCCAAAAGAGTCTCACACTTATAACATTGTTAATGTGTCGAGGTATGTAAAGGCAGAGGTGGCAGTGAGTATATGCAAGTTATCAGAAGGCCTCGACAGTGCGTGCTCATTATAGAGAGGGCGAATTTGACTGAATGGATGAAGGAAGATGTATAGATGGATGGCCACGAGTGACAGGCTGATCAGCACCCAATCACTCTCGGCCAGCGGTGTAAGGGATCAAACTCTGGACTTGTGGGAGGATGAAATACTGACGAAGGGACCCATCTCCAGACTCAGTATATAGGGCTGCAAGCGGACGGATCAGCGTACAACTTACATCCTTTGAAAAACAACAGTATTGTGATTAACAAATAAATAAAAATAAAAGACCGGCTGTATCTTTGTCTCCACATTTTATTCAGTACTTAAAACAACTGAATTGGATGAATAAAGTACAATGTAATTAGAACCAAGAAGAGGAACATCACTCAGTGGTAATTACTCCCAATATGATTTTAACTTAATTGTTAGATAAAGAAGTCCTTGATCCATCTTCTCCTCAACCTCCTAAGGTAGCCACATTGTTTTTGAAAAGTTATATAGCAATTACGAAATACAATAGACCTAGACTTGAACTTTAAATACCCAACAACTTGACCATTTATAATAGATTCATGATGGAATTCCTGAAGTAAGCATCTTTCAGAACCTACAGAAGCGAAGGTTGACAATTCATCGGACGGCTCTGCAACTAATGAATGTTAGCGTATGGTGAATACACCATGAAGTATTAAGTTGGCCGTAGCAGGAGGTACCTCTTGTTTCATGATGAAGCATTTATGGATAAATTTGAAAGGAAGACTCAGCTGGTCTTTCAGAAAATAACAGGATGAGAGAGGAAAGATATTGCCGACGATTAAAGAAGATGGAGGGATTTTCTTTATTTTAGTTATTTTGAGTATACTACCTTTCCGGACGGTGGTGATTAAGTACGAAATAGAACACATTTGTTTACTTAGCTTTGCAATTCATAACCTTGCATGGCGGGTTCCACACTAACCTGCATGGTTTAAGAAGGAAAATAAATACAGTGTGTGCCCTTTATGCTCATGATGAATTATTTCCCTCATCATTCGCTTCTCGTACAGAACTTGTGAGTAAATGTGGAACACTACATACCAGTGTAGGAAATGAAACGGAGGCCCTCATAAAGACGAGGATGTAATTTAGTCGTTACTGATATATCAAGCAATGCATAGCGCTTTTAACATTGTTCAAGAAATTTCAGTCCGAGATTTTTGAAGGTTCTTAATATGGGTACTTTAAACTGCCACGTGTGGTTAACTACAGGTTTCAGTAAGTGCAATTTCAATTTTTGAATATAGAACTAGAAAGTTTAGAATGAAAGAAATGAATATAGAAATTTGAAACATGGACGACGGGTGTACCTTTTCTTTTTTTCTGACCTTATGTCATTCACCAGTTGTCAATCTAAGTGAAGAGAGAATTTCAGTAAATTAAATATGATATGACAATGTTTTCCAGAGCTTAACGTAGCATATATTTTCATAAGTACTGTTATAAGGCCTTTGGCAATTGTATACGTCACTATACAATACGTTTTTAGACCTTTGGATTGGTTAAATACCACATGTCGAAAATTTGATCCGATAAGGAAAGAAGAAAAATATGAATTTGATTTATTCTCTCATGTCTTAATGTTTACTATATCATGAGATTTCCTCTGTTATGAAACCATCGCGACACTTCATTTATTTCAATTTGTTTTCCTCGATCTCATACTAAACGTTTTATTTGAAAAAAAAAACCTACGCAACGTCACTATTTCGAATAATCTATAAAAAAATCAGGGTTTTTGGTAAAGTGTTTTCGAAAACCTACATCTCTTTTGGCTCACGTTCATAATCATGTGAATTAAAATATTTATTTTCAAATTACTATTTCTAATATATTTCCAAGTCATATTCTCATTCATTTGACAGAAACATACACAGACTATTATAATTAAATTACAGTAGATGCCATCTACTAGTAATTTTATTCTGCATTATAGATATCCGAACACCATTGAGCTTGAATCTTTGTGCTTAGTTACATGTAATGAAGAATTAAGCATTGGAGGCAACCGGTAAACTTATGGTAAGTTATGGGACAACTGGTAAACATATCCGCATTTTTTAAAATAATATTAGTTATTATTTAATATCAAAATTTTAAATTCAAAATTAATATTCAACTTATATTGCATAGTTCGAATCTTAAATCCTAAGAAGGGATTGCTATAACCTGCTTAAGATAGTCAAGCGAATAATATTTGGTGGAGTTGTGGCAGTAATTCATCATAATTATTATAGTGTTTTGGAGAACCACATGCCATTATATCACAGACTATTAACTAAAATTTAACTTCAACTTTGATAATGAAATCAAATATTGGTATTTTCCGGAGAAAACTATGTCTTCTCTTATCTGTCAGTGAATATTCCAGTCAACCGTATCGTCAGTCCGTCCATCCAGGCAGAATATACAATATTAAACGTTGATGGAGTTATATCCTACCCCTAAAGAAAAAATTTCAAACTTATTGCAATAACAACTTTTTAAGAGTAAAATTGTTTACACTTAATCCAAATCATTTTAAGGTACTGACATCCAAAAGTTTTGTATCACCAAAAAGGAACATTTCGCGTATGTTTACCATTATATATCTACATTTTGAATTTTAACAGGTCTTCTATTCTATTCAAACTGGGTGAAGTTACTGGATTTTCACTGACATGACAACGTCACCCATAGTAAAATATTTAAAATATGTCCGATTAATTGATGGTTTTCTTTTTAGGTGCAACTAAGAGCCCATTTAAATTTGGTTTAAACATTACTTAAAATTTCGTCCAATCAATTATTAAACAACTAATAGCACCTCAGCGAGTGGAATACTTGATGTGCCACTTCTGCTCTGGAAATACCACCCACTCAACCTTCAGCTCGATACTCACTTCTTGATCTCCTTCGACATTACGGAAGTTAAGTGTACTTTAAATTAGGAAGTGGAAGAACGAGAATATGATTTGGAAGTAGTTCACTCCAAAATGCGTTTGTTTGTGATCCGGCGCTCTTTCTAAATTTCCAATTTCAGTGTTTTTGAGATGTCTTAAAAAGAATTACATGAAACCAAAGGAAACCCCGAAAATTTTGGTGCAGTTAAGGCAGTTATAACAAATTGTGGTGAAGGCAATGACACATAAAAGAAGGTAGAAGTTCAGCATAATTAAGGTTCGACAGAAGAAGTGGATGATATTTTACCAGAGCAAGATGTTCTGGATTTTTCAGAGGAGAAAATTGGTTGTGGTTGAATATTGATGGCATATGATAATATGATATTATATGTATATATATATATATATATATATATATATATATATATATATATATATATATATATATAATACCATATTATATTACATAGGCGTGTACAAATGATCCTAAATGCAGGGTACTAATACAAGGAGACGTACCTGAAGCCTTTGAAGTTCGAACGGGTTTGAGGCAGGGTGATGGACTCTCGCCGATGCAGTTCAACTTAGCACTAGAGAAAGTAATAAGAATAACATCACGTGAAGATGGAGGGGTGCACGTTGTAATGAAACATAAAATCCTAGCATATGCCGATGATATAACTTTCCTCGGAAATAATCACGAGAATATTAAGAGACTCGCTCGGACCCTATTAAAAGAAGCAGAGCAAATCGAACTACAGTTCAATGTAGATAAAACAAAATACATGATAGGCGAAACATCCACCCTAATAACATGATCTGCGTGGATTCTATGTCATTTCCGAAAATATACAGATTCAAATACTTCGGTTCCACAATAACCACAATAAATGATCAACTAACAGAAATAGACCAGCAAATAACAAGTGCGAACAGATCTTTCTTCTCTATTTCAAATGTACCGAAATCCAGAAAAATCTCCAGAAATCTCAAAAAAAGACTATACAACGCCGTGATTAAAGCCATTTCTGCTTTGCGGCTGTAAAACCTGGGCTCCAACCGGCACATTAGAAGCCAGAATTGAGAGATTTTAAAGAAAAGTTCTATGTAGGATAACAGGACCTATATGGGACCAGAACCTTGACACATGGAGGAGAAGGAACAATAAAGAACTGTTGTTGGTCAGTCAATATCTCGTAATATGAAGGCAAGGAGGTTAAGATGGTCAGGGCATGTAGCTCGTAGAAATCCATCAGGACGCCTCTACACGACAATAAATGCCAGAGTAGTAGGCAAGAGACCACGTGGGAGGCCAAAAACCAGTATGGATAGACAAAGATACGGCTGAGCTTCATGCAGAAAACTGGAAAGGAGTAGCCCAGGATAGGCAGAGGTGGAGAAGGCTAGTTCAGGCGCCCAAAGATCTACAAGGTCTGTAGAGCCAACCGAAAAAAAAAAAGATATATATATATATATATATATATATATATATGCATATGATGATAAACATAGAGCCATAATAATCAATCCTCTACATAGTGGCAGATTGTATTATTTTTCTTCAATAAAATTATCAAAGACAAAATATGTATAGAGAGAGAGGGTTTGTTTGATAATACTCAAGCCTCAGACAGTTCAGAGATCCTTAAGAGCATATTATATTTTGTTTTTAAATAATTATTACACTCAACTTAACTTAATTTCTTGAGTGTAATTAAAAGTTTTTTCTCACCTGGATTCCAAACTATGCCCAGATATAAAACAATTAACTCTGCTGTTGCTCCGAGTTGGGGCATTTTGTTTCGTTATTGGTGCTTACTATTGCAAAATATATATTTATTTTTTATTATATTAAGAGCATATGTATCTGTGGCTTGGCCTTAAAGGGTCTGCGATCAAATTATTAGTTCCGAAAATGTCAACTTTGCTGCTTTATGAAAAGAATCTGAGCCTTCATAATGGCATACATGTCACATTATCATGTCATCATAGAGAAAATACAATATTTTACTTTTGTTTCTAAACATTGCACTTTATAGAATTGAAGATTCAGTAAAATGGAAACTTTTGACATTTAAAACACAAAATAAAAAATAAAAAAATTTATATTGGCCGGCTCTTAAAAGAAGCAACAGATATGTTTTTAATTACTGCATAATATATAATATAATAGTATATATCGTCGATTTGTTGTGGAAAGTAATTAATTAAGTGGTGAATTTTAGTTAGGTTTCTGGAAATTAATCTTATTATTCTTCTCAATCATTTGCCATTGTGCTTTTTAGCGTGGAGATACTCCGGTCTAGTATTTCGTCAGTTTTCATATCTGTACCTATATTTTTTTCAGAAGACGCATAATTTTGACATATTTATATTTCTTTTATTTAGAAAGTTAACATAGCGAGTTAACACTTTCCTTGCTATGTCACTTATGCGTAGGTAAATATGCTTTCGTAGGAACGGATTTTTTAAAGTATTTTAGGCATTAATTCATTTAATTAGAAAGATATGACCTGTATGACTGTTAATATTTTTATAATAAATTTGCCTATTTTATTTGATTAACTTTCTATGTGTTTACCTTCATAATTTACTTTATATAACCATATTACATTCTGTCACAATTAAGGACATTAGTTATAATGATGAAGCAGTGTAACTTAGTAAGTAAGGCACTGACTTCCAGCACTCAAGATCCCGGGTTCGAAAGCTAGAGCTTTTATGAAATATGTAGACTTTCCTTTATTTGGTGTGTTTCGCTTACAAAAAACTTCTTCAGATCCGGTTCTCATTCATTCACCTGAGATGTCCAAACCATCTCAACTGCCTCTTTTCGATTGTATCCATCAAAATGATGAGTCCTGTGCCCTCTCTCCTATCATTTCATTAATAACTCTGTCTCTTCTTGTCTTGCCAGTCACTCTCCGGAGGTGTTTTATTTCCGCTGGTATAGCTTAACAGTGCCTGACCCAGCTCTCATTTCTATAAAGAATGATTGGTAAGTAGATTGCTTTAAAGATGTGTAGTTTTACTCCGCTTTTCGCCTCTCATTATTCCTGCCACAGTATCGCACAGCTGGTAATATATATTATTAAGTTTATTAATCCTATTTTAAGCTCATGATCTATTTTTTCATTTCTGCCCAGCACTGTTCCTAGATATACCTCTGCTGTCTCTACTTCATCTCTGCAGCGCATTATCACTTCCTTCTCTTCACGACTATTGTGCATTACCCTACTTTTCCTCTTCATTTCTTTCCTTTCCACCTCATTTCCTTCTTTATTTCGAAGGTCTCAGACACTCTTCCGTTTATACCAAAAATGTCTTTGAGATGTAGATTTGATGGCACTACAATTTTAAGAGTTAAAACTGCCAATATTTCTTGTCTGTTGGCGGAGTCAAAGCCTGTCTCTATGTCCAAGCCCGTTTTCTCTCCTGTGAATTCTCAATAATAGTCTTTTACACTCAGAGCTTTCGAAGTAATGTTACTCCTGATAATTTATAATCCAAATATGGTTAATATTATTTTCATACAATGTATCATTAAAATGTTTTTCATTAATAACTTTTTTTCCTCTCGTCGGCCCAAGACATTCCATTGAAGGTCCTATACTGACCCATAACTTTAGGCTTTTCAAAAGAAACTTTTACTTCGTGACTTTTTGCATTAAACTAAATATATACACACATTCCTTTATGGTTTTGCTCATATAAATATTTTAAAAAATATTTTTTATTTCTTCAGGAGTCCATCCGACAGAGTCCAGCATACGCACCGGTTGGGATAATACTTGGTGCTTTTGCTTGGTTCGCTTTGAAGAAAATTTCAGAACACATTCCATGCGTGGATGCCGCTCAACTTAGAAAAACATTACTAGCATTGATATTTTCAGGTATTACCTAGAAATTTGACTGTTCATTCTTATTCGTAATCATATGAATAGATTCATCCTAAAAGGCCTTAAGGAAGAAGAATAAAATTCATTAATCTAATACTAATAGAAATCGAAGTTCATGAGAATTGCTTGGACAAATCTAATGCAGCAATTCGCTAGGTTCTTCAGTGACTGTGTTATCCACACAGGAAGGTCTCCACAAATACTATTGCACAAAGTATTTATAAACTATTATAAAATACTCTAGACTAAATTTAGCACTAAAACAGGAGGATTTTTCAACAAAGTTTGATAGATACCATCTAACTATTTTTATTGATACAGTTAAAGTTGAGTCTCGTAATTTGTTTAAAATGATAAAGTGGTCATGTTTTAATTCGACGAATATTCTATTTTTTCCATTACTTAGTGACGATAATTGCCAGTTAATAACATTAATCAGTAAATTAATGCTTTTAAAGAATAAGTATTATTAAAATTATAAATGCTTAATACTCTAGGCCAATACAACGATGATTAAGCCTTGAAATAAATTATAAAAATCATAAACAATGATGTTAGTAATTTTTTTTTCTATAAAATAGGAAAATTGAGTTTAGGTGGTGTTAGAACTTAAAATAAAATAGTGTAATAAAACTATATTAAAAAGAGCAAAAAAAACTTTTATGAGTAAGTTGACTGGACAAATTTCACTTATTTTAAAATGCTACATCTTATTACAATTTCGTCATGTTTGTCGTTTAAGAAACAATCACCCAATCCTCACTTTATCGATTTAAACACAGATTATTTCATATTTATTAAAAATTAATCTACTAATAATGTTTTCTACTTCCATTGCAAAGAGCTATTGACCAACCATCAGTTCGTTACAAAAAGACAACTAAATAATGATTTTGGAAAATCGCTTCTGCAATTTAAATATGGAAAAGTTTTTAAAAGAATAAATTATTTTAAAGGAAATTAAAATAGAACTAATTAACATTTTAAAATTAAACAAAACAAATTCTGGTGTACTCATTTACACGACATTTCTATCGAATGCATACAATTTATAAAACTTCAAATATTTGCATTAATCAAAATTGAATTACAGCCATGTTCCTAAAAACCGGTCAGAGAAATGATAACAGTACGATTTTATTAATGAACAGTAGCAATATGAACGAAAACGTGAACGATCCTTAAATCCAGCTTAAAAATTAAATTCACTATTACTTTATAATCGACCTTTGTAATTCTTCGAGAAAAAAAAGTTAATCTACTCAAAAAATTTGAAGTTTTGCGTTTCAAGGTACATACAATCCGAAATCCGACAAGAATATGCAAGTGTTTATGTAATTCTTGGTGTCCTCATAAAAATATCATTATACGAAAAATAATAATTTTAGAGCTAGTTTGTAATATTTTTTTCATAAGACATACTTAGTAGCTATATATACATTATAATTTAAACAATAAATCATATTGTGATTGTTGAAGTATTTAACTTAGATCAATTACAGTAAAAAATATGGGCCAATGAAAAGAACGAAAAATTTCCATTTTGAGGGAAGGAGGGGGGAGAAAATTCAGTCCTAATCCTCTTTCCCACTGTAGATTTGCCGGTATCGTAAGGTCTAATAAATAATATTGCTCGATACCATTTGTTAAAAACATATATTTATCATTTAAATAAATTTTTTATTACTACTATTAAAATATAGAAAAGCATTCATCTAAGTTTATATTTTCCATTACTGAGCGATCTCGGAAGCCAATGAGAACGAAGGCCTGACTAGATTCTTAGCTAAGTATCCATCCATTAATTCCACCAATCGCTCCTGAAGGCTCCAGGACAAGAACATTGAGGTCGCTGAAGAGTTAACGATGTAATCGCTGGTTGGACAAGTGGTCTGCGCGGCCCAACGTCCATCAGCTGTCCAGTAGACACTGCTGGGGAATGCGGGCGCAACCACTGCGCAAAGCCAGGCCACTCTGCACGCTCATGTTTAAGTTGGGAAGGCGACTATAGGGATTGGAAAATATCAATTTATTTTAAGCTCGATGGAACTATTAATCCACGATTTGCATGAAAGTGTAAATTCAAAGCTTGATGAAATTTACTACGCAAAGGATATATTGTACTGCGAGAAATCTTCAAAGTAAAATAGCTGGATATTTACAGCGATCTCTTAGCTTCAGTTAACAAAAACTAAATTCGACGAAGGATTTGAATAATGTATGTTATATTTTTTGTTCAGTGAATTTTCAAGGCTTGATCAGTTAAAAAATTATGTATCTTTTTTCTAATTTTCGAGCATACTTAAATGGTTTTTTAAAATAATCGAATGTCTCGTATATATTTTATTAATACCTTTTAAAGAACTCAAATAATCTGTTTTTATTACTATTCTTTTGGACGTTATCGACATGGAGAAATGGAGAGCTGATGCTATTGCGTGAGGTTCAGCTGTATATATACTACATAATTTATGTATTTTTATTTTGTGGGTTGTAAATGGAGATGCTGTGGATACTTAGGATTTTGAGCTCAATAGCAGCAGAGAAACAACAAATATTGTGAGTTTGAGTATGGGTTTATTTAATAATAAAACATGTTTTGGCTAGATGTCAACATATAGAAACATCTATTGGTCGGTAAAAATAATTTTGTAATATATAAGATTTATAAAAGCTTAATTTTTTATTTACGATTTTCAGTATTCAGATCTGATTTCAATAATAATAATAAAACAATAGTAAGAATAGTCATAAGAATGGTAATGTGAATATGAACAATATTTTAATGTAGGCAAAATATGTTAATTAATTTATTTTAGTGAATACTACAATCTACCACATAGAAGGGAAACAAGTAGTTCGTAATATGAGGACAATGTTTGGACTTGATTTGAGACATCTTTCATTTGTTTTACACATGCGTTACATCTAATCTCGAATGAAATTTGATCTAAGTGTTAAACGAAAGAAATAATAAACAGAGAATATTTTTGAATATCGATCAAATTTATCGCTAAAATTATTTTGGTACATTAAAGTAACATAAAACCCTATGTCAAAACTAGTCACATTGAATGCAGTTTGTTTTAATTTCATCAAGTCAAGTCAAGAAAGTCAACCAAGTTACTAATATATTAATACTTACTAATTATTTTATAACTATTAAATGAAATTTTTAACAAGCCAAATATCATGTACATATTGACTAGTACGAAAGAAAAACGATACAAATAGTGAAAATTTGATCAGGTATTGCTGTTATCAGAAATGTCAGAACGTCGTCCTGTTTTTATTACTTGTTGAACTCAGTTAGTCGAACATTGCTGAATAATTAATAGTAATAATTTAAATCTGGTATAATGTATGATAATACTTTCATATAAATGGTTTCATTATTTATTTATATTTCATTTAATTTGTTAATATAGATGATATGAAATATTTCGAGTATGACGTATGTGGTTAAGTTCACTGTAAAAACCTAGTTCTATTTCCTATTTACCTCTAGATGTACACTGAAATATTTCTAATAACACGATTTTCCATCAACTTACTTTTTGAACAGGTGCTTATGCTTGTATTTGGATCGAGGGATCAAATCCCCATGACGCCGAAATAAAAGAGAACGCCCCGATATATGAAATCCCCCTTCTCCTGGCTGGAGGGTACTACGTCCTCCACATCTACCCCCAGAGGTTTCCCAGCACTTCGGCCCATCATTTGTTCAGCATCATTGCCATCATCTGCGTCATCATTCAACAGAAAGGAGCTTCAGCCGCCAATACGTTTGGTTTTCTCGTCGAGGCTCCCAACGTCTTCTTTGCCCTAAGGGGATGTGTCGCCAAGCTAGAGTGTTTTGCGCTCGATATAATACTTAATGTCATCTACCCATTGTTATTCATTCTTGCCAAGTTTTTAGCTCTTGGCTACCACACATATCTCATCGTGGACCATGATGCACCTATACATTTGAAAATTCTTACGCTTATATTGGCATTGTTTTCCATCGCTTTTATCATCGAACTTGTATACTTGGCCTACAAAGGCGATGAAGAACCAAAGAAGAGCAGTAAGTCCAAATGCAGATCCAAGTCACGGTCAAGATCTAAATCCAAAATCCGACGATCAAGATGTTGTAAAAAATAACTATAAATTTCAAGCTTTGTGGTGTTGATATTTCATTTTAATAAATCAATAGTTCATTTTTCTTATCATTGTCCAAGTCCAAAAAAAAATTATCATAATTGCTGCTCATCTAACTATCATAAATATGCTCATTGTTCTTAATATTATTGTAAAATATCAATTGAAATCCAATAGCTGCGTAAATATTTTAAGGTACATAAAAAAATAAAATAAAATAATACTTCTCTTTCTTTTAATCCAGTCCTCTGTTACTTCTGAGCAGTGTGATGTTCCTTCTTATAGAGCTTGATCCAAGAATCTCTATCCTAGGCTAGCTGTCTTCTCCTACTTCAGTCCATTCCTCTCCTGTCAAATGCTCCTTTAATTCCTTCTTCCCATCTTTTTCTTGGTCTTCCCTGTAGCCGCCTTCTCTCGTACTTTGACCTCGTAGGTAGGTAGGTAGCCCTAGCAACTCTGTTTTCAGCCATTCGCGAGACATGTCCAAACCACATAAGTTGGTTTTCTTGGATTATTTCCTCTACAGGCCTCAGGTCCAGATTACCTCGTATGGTCACATTCCTAACGCGATCTCTTCTTGTTTTCCCCTCTATTTTCCTTAAATATCGCATTTCCATAGCTTGGATTTGCCTTTTTTGATTGGAAGTAAGGGTCCAAGACTCGCTTGCATATGTTAATATAGGGAGGAAGGTATTCTTGAAGACAACCTTCTTAGTGGCCTTTGTCCAAGAAGCCTGACTTGAGGGAGTAGAAGTATTTTCCTGCCGTCTTAATTCTCTCTTCTATGTCTCCATCAATCCATCCGAACTCGTTGAGGTGAGCACCCAGGTATTTAAAATCCATTACTCGCT